TTTTATCCACGACTATTGTATAATGTACCCATTATACGTCTGTTTGCTCGACCTTAATAATACCCATTAATCACGGCAGTGATTAATGAGTCATTAATCACTACTGTCAGATGCTTCCTTAATTTAGCTATAATATTATATTGTTCTGCTACAAACAATCCGTTTTTAAAATTTTATCGTGTAAACCACTAAATATTTTCAATTCAGTGCTGTACATATAAAAAAAAAATTAAAAAGGTGAATTTTCCTAGACCGGATTCGAACCCGGGACCCGCGGTTAGAAGGGAAAGAGCATCTACACTGAGCCATGAGCGACTTCGTTTGTGTGAGTCGTATATCTGTTTCTTAACATACCATGTTTTTCGAAACATTTCAAAAAAACTTCAACAAAAATATTTAGTAGTCGTGGATAAAGTATAGTATTCTACTCCCGTATAAAGGCGCGTATAGACTTGCGAGCTGAGCGGCTCATGAGCCGCTCACGTAACAAGTGTCGGCAGTGTGGACGGGATTTTGAGCGTAGTTCGAGCCGATCTTGAGCCGCTTGCTGCGAGCCGGCTGGTGTCGGTTTTTTCGGCGAGCACAAAGAGATGCTCAGTGTCAGTTTGGACGGCAAAACTACATGCTCGCAAGTGTGGACAGGCTTTTTGAATCAAACCATGGCGACCTGGCCAGATGAAGAGGTACTTAGGCTAATAGAATCTTATAGGTTATATTCTGTTTTATGGGACCCGAAGCATGAGAACCACTTTAAAAAAATGTAAAAGAGGATGTTTGGCGCGATATTGGTGCAGCAATGGGGCGGCCCATGGATGAATGTAAAAAGAAAATGATTACTTTGTTGGGCTCGTACCGGAGAGAAAAAAGCAAGGAGAAAAGAAGTTGCACTACTGGCAAAGGTATGTTTTTGTTGTTAAATAAAATAAAACTTGCTTAATTATTCTTTTCTGATGTATATATCATAAATAATAAATACGATATATAGATTAGTTAACTGAACATAAGCTGCAATTTAATAAATAAGTAGACACATGAAATCTAAATATTATATTCCAGGAGCTACAGAAGTTTACAAAAGTCGATGGTTTGCCTATGAAGCTTTGGGGTTCCTGAGAGACAGAGATGAACCAAGACGAACGTTAAGTACAGTAAGTAAAATTACTTTTTAAGCGTACGTATTTTGCCATGGTAGAACTCCTTCGTTGATGCAATATTCAGAGATTTCCTTTCTAATTTCATTTACGTAAGATGAAGACCTTTTAGGAGCATTTCGTAGATGTCTCATGGAAGTCATTCCTTCATCATTTCTCCATGTTCCTTCAATAATTACTCCATTTACTTCGTGGTCCAGTGAACCTGGTGGCGTGTACAAGTTACGCGAATGAGTCCTCAGGTAATTGTGTAAAACGATTACAGACATAACAACAATTTCGGCTTTAGCGGGCTCCAAAAGCATTGGTTTTCTTAGAACTCGAAATACTGAACTTGATATACCAAAGGCATTTTCAACTACGCGCCGAGCTCTACTTAAACGATAGTTGAAAATTCTCTTACAACTTCCAGGGGCATGATCTCCCGGGTATGGCTTCATCAGATTTTCACAGAGAGCAAACGCACTATCACCTATAAAATAGTAGGGAACTTTCATTTCACGACCCCGAAGTTCTTCTGGTAACGGTAGTCCCAAGGAGTTCTCGTTTATCATTTTATACAACTTACTGTTCTTAAAAACTCCACCATCTGAAATTCTGCCTTGGCACCCTACATCCGCAAACATGAAATTATAATTCCCATCTACTACTGCTAGCAAAACAATGCTGAAGTGTGATTTATAATTAAAAAAATCGCTGCCAGAATTTACTGGCGCTTGCAGGACAACATGCTTGCCATCGAGGGCACCAACACAATGAGGAAAGTTCCAAATGGTGTCAAATATCTTGCTCACTTCCTTCCAAGCCATGGGAGTCTTGGGAAGCTGAAAAATAAATAAGCGCAATAAATAAATAAATAATGATTTGACTTCAGAAAATTTCGTATTCCCAAGAAAATTACAGGGTTTTATAATTTAATATTGCATATATTGAATGTATATTTGTGTTACAATTTTGTTCTTTACTCTTTTTCATCCAAAACTTAAATGAAAAAATACTATGGATGTAAAAGCCATCTTCTGAAGGAATGCGGAATTTTCCGGAGTCAGTTATATTAAAATTATTAATTATGAATGCGTTAATATTATTCCGATATTTTTTTAGGAGACGGAGAATGTTGATAATGGAGAAACAGAACCAGAAGAAAATAGGGAAATAAACCAATCCGCAACTGAAACTGAAGAATCCTTTTCCACTCCTAAACCTCCAAAGCGGGCGAGACTAAAAGAGCGTAATCAAAGTAGCAACATGATGACTTCTGCTTTTCGAATACTACAAACCGCTGCAGACAAATTAAACGCACCTCCATCTGAAGATGATGAAGTAACGTCCTTTTTTAAGTATGTTACTACGAAGGTAAAAACCTATTCCCCACAAACAAAGAGAGAAGTTCAACAGGCAGTATTTGATATTTTAATGAAGGCAGATAGGGGTTTTTATGAGTGGACATCGGAAAATGCTCATTATGGTTATCAACAGCCAACTCCAGTGTACAGTACACCTCCAACTACAGGATTGTCCCTTCAGTCAGCTTGTGTATTTCCTACATACCCTTCGCAGCCTCAATTGACACAACTGACTACCGCACAACAGACACAGTCCCAACAAGGAGTTCCAACAGTACATCCTTCAATTCATGCAGAATCATGCCCTGGAATACCTAATGACTCTACTCAGTTTTCTACAATATCCCGTGTGCCATCACCCTCTCAGCATTCAAACATTTCAGTGGGTTCAGATGATTTTGAAGACTACGTTTAAGTGGATATACATCCTGCCTATTCTGATATATTCTGAGTTTCATTTCATTTTGTCTCACCAATGTTGTCAGTTCAATTAAAATAAATGATATCTATAAAACATAATTAAATCGAGATTTTAAATTTTTTCTTACTTTTATATATTCTGCTAGTTCTTTAACGAGTGCTGCACAGACCTCTGGAATTATCTTCCCAATGGATTGCTTTGATATTCTGAACAGGTACTGTAGGCTAGTATATGAATCTCCTGTGGCAAGAAATCGTAAAGCTACTGCTAATCTGAAATTTTAAATACCCACAGATTTTAATCCTACTATTAAAAGAAAAACTATTAACAATTACAAAGTTAACTAGTAAACAATTAAATTAAACTGTTAACAATTTTTGAAAAATGTGTAAACAAAAAGTACTAACCTGTCCTGGGCCGAAATCGGAGAACGAAGATACGTTTTCTGTTTTGAGATGTGGTGACCTATTCTGCTCAGTAAATTTTCAGTCAGTAGGCGACATTCTTGTAAAATTTTTATACTGCCCACTAACGCTCTGGAACATGTCCAACATCAGTTCAGCTCCATTTCGTTTTTTGTATAGTTCAGTGCACCAACAACGACGAAGTTTCTTTTTCTTATACAAATTGGCCATTATTATACCTGCGCCACTTGCAACCATTACGGCAAACAAAGTTTCTTGTTCAGACATCTTAATAAATTGAAACAAACGAACACACAGACGGAATGGTGCGGTGGATTTGCTCGCGACCAATGTCGGCTCACTTAATGCTCAGAGGAGACTCGGCCATTCATTTTTTCCACGAGCGCCTTATGAGCGACTCATGAGCCGCTCAGCTCGCAAGTCTATACGCGCCTTAATGGGTATTATTCACTCGGTGATTTAGGCCACTCGCCTGCGGCTCGTGGCCGTAAACTTCACCTCGTGAATAATACCCATCATTATACGCTCGTTGAATAATATACTATTAAACTATTGAAGTTACGGATTCCACTATTCAAGACAATTTTATAGAGTAATTACTGGACTACTATCCTTTTTATACAAAACAGTTAAAAAGAGGGTTTGGGTTTAAACCGGGTCTTTTCAAATGGGTTTAAACCGGGTTCAAACCCTCAAAATCAAAAGACCCAATCTTTTCCCTTCTCTATAAGAGATACTTACAAAGGTTAAATTAAAACAAAGTTACGCAATTAGGAGGCTAAAAATATGGTACCAAGAAGTCAAGAATATCTCAATTTATTTTTGAAATACATATTTGGGAAAAACTGAAATTTTTAAAAATATAATTAATTAATTTTTTCTTGTCAAGCGTTTCGTTCTTTATTTGGCCTTCTATCTTCAGGTGTCCTAACATAGATTTGTATCTCTTTGTTTTGAGTTTTGGCTCAGTAAAATATTTAGAAGACCTTTTTGTAAGGGTTAAACTTACGTTTAAATGCTAAATTAAAAAAATTGTGAGATAACCAAACTTAAGTTAAAATACTAACTTTCGAAAATATGAGATAGTTGTTTTTTTTGACCCCATTTCTCTTTTGATGTAACTACTAAGAAATGGTGTCAAAGAAAAAATAAATATTTCATATTTTTGAAACTTAGTATTTTAATGTAGTTTGGCTTAAACCCTTATAAAAAAGCCTTCTAAACATTTAACTGATCCAAAATAAAGAGATTTGGAAGTTTGGACACCTGAATATGGAAGGTCAAATACAGAACGAAAAATTAAAATTTAAACTTACTGTTTGTTGTATGTGAAAAACATCGTGAATTGCTACCAAAACTGCAACTATACTTAAAAAAATTAATCTGATGATAGCCCTGGAAAAGCGAAACGTTGTATAAGAAATCGGATAGAGGGCAAAAAGTGTCAATGAAGATGTGTTTGCAGATTTTCAATATTGTTTCAAATAAGGCTAGGTAGGTACAAAAAAGAAAATAAAATAATTGCTTTTTTTCAGTTTTTTGCTTATATTTCCAAAAATAAGCCTCTAATCGACATGAGGTATACTTATTGGTTTTGTTCCTGAGGAAATTTGCTACAAGGGTGGGCTTTTGCGAAAGTTCGCAAAATTTTTTTTATATTGCAAAATTAGCGGTGAATAGAAAAATGTACTAAATTTTCAGAATTAAATAAAAATAACAAATTTGACTGAAATTGGATGAAACTACAGGAAAAGATAACTGTTGGGGTGGTTAACAAATACCTGCAATCCGGACCCCAAAAAAAAAATGGCGGCGTATTGCAAAATTATATTGTCGAAAACGCTAGCGCGTGTATCTTCTGCCCAAGTCAAGATATCGAAATTCGACAAGAAAGGATCTAAAGGTAATTACATTATCTCGCGTCTGTGTAAATTTCAGATTTTTAAGTTGCAAAATAAAAAAATTTTGCGAACTTTCGCAAAAGCCTACCCTTGTAGCAAATTTCCTTAGGAACAAAATCAATAAGTATACCTCATGTCGATTAGAGGCTTATTTTCGGAGATCTAAGCGAAAACCTGAAAAAAAGCAATTATTTAATTTTCTTTTGTTATAAACAATATGACGCTCGACCTCTACAAATACACAAATTTAGGCTTTTATTCTGTGTATTTTTTACTTAATTTTAAACCCATAAAATTCGAGGTAGGCCCGATTATTGAAAAAAAACCTAATTCACCCGGACTACTAGGCTTATTTTATTCATTATTCAATTCCTCAAAAGTCTTCAAAATTTAGAAATAAAAAGTTGTCATTCTGGGAACAATTGTTTATACAAATTTTGACTTTTTTTATGAACAAGTATTTGTAGAATAAGCTTTACAAGTCGATTTTTCAGAGCACTATATTTCATTTTTGCAATAAGTATTTCGTTCTAAAAAAGTTTTTTTTCTGTTCTTCATTAGTATTATTTTTGGTTTTCCATTTAAAAATTAAAGTAAGTAGCAAAAAAAATAGTGTATCTGGCAATTGAATTCAGATCCACTATAACTGCAGGCTAATTATATTTGAAATCGCATTATATTCGAAACAAGCGCACCTGCTAGAGCTTCGAGTCAACCGATACATGTAGCGTGCGCGTACTCCCCAAATGCCTTCCCCTCTCTTGCTTAGTTAGAATGTCCAAAACATGACATAAATTTATTTAATTTTAATAAGCAATAGCATAAAATCGATGTAAAATTTCCCTGGGAACACGATGGTGCAATTATTTTTTTGCTACTTGCCGTAGTTTACGAGATATTTGCGAAAAACCTTATTTTTTACGGTTTTTTGACCTTTTGACCCCTTTCCTGACCACCTAGGTCAAAAATTTTTGCGGATTCGGATTCCTGAGGGTCGAAAACATATTTGCGCCCAGGTTTGATCGACAGAGGAAAAAATGGAGGTTCAGCCTTCATTTCAATGGACTAAATACATACAGTAATATTATATATATATTTTATGCCTATACATATTATTCTCCAAACGCAATTAGTAGCAAGATTCTATATATTTTAGTAATTAAGCAGTGTTTTTAAGTTAAAACGACTCGTCAAAGTAAAAAAATATTTCAGGTTAGGTATATATTTTTTTTACTGAAAATAGCAGTTAATTTACATTATCGGATTGTTAATGTGAAAATATAAACATTAGACTGTTGACTATTCCATGTTATACGTGTTTTAAGGTCACTTTTGAAGAAGAAACTACATGTAATTTTAAAAACCGTATTTCTGTTTTTATAATGAAGGAATAGTAATTATAAGATTGTTTAAGCTTATTAACTAAAAATTATTGCCTACTCAATAAAAAAATATTATTGTCCTCGATAATCTATTACTGATTAATAAAATATTTACTCTCTTTCCTTATAAGATTGTATGTACACAAATTGGAGCCGTTCCTGAAAAATCGGACGAATATCCGGTGCAGCGGAATTATTAGACTTGAAGCGTTGGCCGCTAGAACAGCACCTGCCGGGGTCCCGTTTCGTGACTCACGCTGGGCGATATTTTTTGTACAAAATCCCGTCCTTAAGTCGGTATAATCTAATACTAGTAATACTAAAAAAAGGTTAG